CGGGTCGAGATTGCCTCCTTACAACAATGGCTTGAGACTATGAGAGCTACCTTCAGCTTCCTGAAAGAATGGGGAGGCATGGGATTCTGGGGATTCCTCCTCGTTGTAGCATGTGGAGGGATGCTATGGTATATCAGGCATATCAGGCAACATACAGCAGCGAATCAACAGATGTTGGTTCAGGTCATGGCAGTGCTCGAGGCAGGAGGATCCCCCGCTGTGTGGCTAATTATGCTGGACCGGTAGTCAATGACAGGTAAGATTTCCCCATACTCATACCAACCTAAGACAGACCGACAGCCCTTTGTCAGCAGCTGGCTGTCGTGTCCATGACGGGTAAGGATGAAGTATGGTGGGAGACAACCTAAGACAGACACGGTCCCCAGGCCAAAATTAACTAAAGAAGGGGGAGATGTGGGAAGCGGGCGCGGTCGAGCTGGCCAAGATGGTGCCCTGGCTGGCGGCCAAGCCTTGTGACCTGCAGTTGTTTGCTCCAACCCGCACAAGCGCTTTAAGCCTGATCACGCACAGCCTGCCTGACAAGAGACATCACCGAGCATGATTCTACTGCATGGCCCAATGAGATGCTGCTCTGCCTGCATGCTAGTCCCGTGTTCACACCTGATTGGCTCCCTGTTATGACCTGACTGTGGGAGGTATCTACTGAGGATATATATTGTGGGATGAGGAGGAATAAAGAGAGAAGAAAAAAGTGAAATGAACCTCATCTTGGCATCTGTGTTGTCCTTTCCTGTGCTCTGCTGGTCAGAGTCATGGCTTGCGGCACAAAATCACACAAAATATTGCCACAGCCCTTGATTGCCTTCTAGAACTGGAAGGTAAGTCCCTAATGCTGAAGACATGACATACTTCAGACATAGGATTTGGAGCAATGGAGTTAGAACTAACCTGGAAGCCACCTCCCTGAAGGCTAGCTCTCATAGTTTTGGAAAACATTATGCAAGCTGCTAAGGGAGATTATCAATCGATGATCTAACCCCAGCTTTAAGGTCTAATAATCACAACAATGACCAGCACAGCAAACTATATTGGAGCAGTAGTGACACTTTCATCTTGTGGGTAATCAACAGCTACCTAACTGGATTTTAAGCCCACTCAATGAGAGGGAACTCCTGCATGGTACTGTAGCCAAATACACATGGCTGGCGAGGTCATAGATCTTAGAGAAAACTCCAAGGATGTCACATCCCTAGACAAATACAATTTCTTACTATGTCTTTATTTATACACCCCCTTCCTAGATAGATGGCACCCTCCCATAGCCTCCCTCCCCCCATAAGAGCCCTTATACTCTGATATCCCTGCTACTGTTTGCTCTGCTGTCAGCACCCCCAGCCATTCCCCACTACTTGCCCTTCTGGTGAATCTAGTCAGCCTATCTAGAGGTCTTTGTTTTAGGAGGGTCAGCTGTTCTTCATCTAGCGGTAATCAGTTGTCTATATTCCTTTGGATAAGATTGGGGTCTGCTGTTCATTTTCCCAGTTCTATGCTGGGTTACTATCTGGGAATCCCTTTGGCCACCCTGGCCGTCAACTCAAAAGAAGGTATCGCTTGTCTGGCATTGTTGCTTATTATGTAGCCTTTAGCTATACATAAGGACTCTTATGAAATTATGTTGAGAGGTAGGACCATAGGAAAAGGGTATTAGTAAGGGAGAAAGGGGGGAAATGGGGACACCTTAAGTGGGAAAACCATGATGGAGGGGTGAGACAATATGAGAGATAAACAATGCCTAGCTAGTTTTGAAAACCAGAGAGAACCATATTACTCCTACAACCTACTGACAAATTATACATAGCAGATCAAGAAATATATGTCTGGGTAAGTTTTATCTGAGAACAACTGATCTTTGCCCAAGATATATCTACATGCCACACAGTAATTAAAAATACCAGACTGGTGGGACTAACCCTCTTGGGTGTTTAATAGACATACTTTGAGGTCTATAGTAGTTTGGTCAGAGGGATATAAAGGACACTTTTTGTTCCTTGCCCTCCTAGGTTGACTAGTTCCAGGGGACTATGAGCATCTCTCAAAATGTCCTATAATGGTGGTGGGTCACCTGTCCTCTTGATCAAGGAGGCTGAGGAGACTCCACTAGATGGACTTGAACCAGTGTCCAGTCTATAGGGTCAACACAGAGGAATCATTTCCTCCATGCTTCCAAGCGAAGCCAACCATGGTCGAGCAGGACCTTTGACTTATCTTCACATAGATAGAACTGGTAAAAGAAAGGAGCCAGGGGCTCCTCCCAAGCCCATGTGACCCGTGAGGAACAGATCCTCAAATGACCTTAAGAGTGAAAATAAATCGGTTTTATCTGGACCAAATGTATGGCCTTGAACACCCAGATGGAAAGTATAACCAAAGATTAAATGGGCCAACAAAAAAGAATTAAACTTTTGAAGCAGGGACAGCTTCAAACTCTCAATTGTCCTGCCTCAGCCTTCATAGGGCTGAGTTGATCCATTACACTTGGATTTTAGATAGCCTTTTAAAACTAGTTTGAGAGTGTTGGGACTGCTTGCTTACTTAAAGGGTAGTGCCTCAGGCACCTCTTAAGCTCACATAGTACACAATCTTTAGACTTGTGTCTTTAGTTTTTGGTGTCTTTTTAAATGACTAGGGTCTTATGCAAATAGACCCATAACTAGCTTTTCTTACTAACCTGTGTATCTTGGAGAGTTTTTTTCATGTCTTTTGTTCCTTTCACCACTGTACATTGTTCCATAGTGTGGATATATCAAAACTTATTTAATTACTTTCCTGCGGAATAGCATTCAGGGAGCTTTTACTTGCTTTTTTTTCTCTCTCTCTCTCTCTCGTTGGCGGTGACCCCCACCCCCCGGCCGCTGCATCCATATTTGTAGTCTCTCTTTACTTGGGAAGTAGAGACAAGCAGATCTCTGTGAATTCAATATTAGTCTGGCCTATATGGTATGTTTCAGACCAGAAGGTTACATAGTGAGACCCTGTCTTTAAAAAAGGAGAAATGTCAGGTGTGGTGGTGCACACCTTAATTCCAGCACTCAGGAGGCGGAGGCAGGTGGATCTCTCTGTGAGTTTGAGGCCTGCCTGATCTACAGAGTGAGTTCCAGGTCAGCTGAGGCTACAGAGAGACCCTGTTTCAAAGGACCAAAAACAAACAAACAAACAGAAAAAAAAAGAAAACAACCAACAACAAAACCCCTAAGGCACAGGGACCTGAAGATGGTTCTGCTGCTGGCAGAGGCAGGACAGGCAGGGCCACTGTGGAAGATTCACTATTCCCTTCAGTCTCCCTCCTTAAACTTAGCCATATGGAGAAGGTGATGCAGCTCAGCAAATGTCATGATCCTTGCCTGCAAAGCCTTAACTCTAATGTAGGACTGACAAGGGCATGACCGACAAGAGACAGAACAGCATAGGGTGAGGTTTCCAAGTCCAACTGACTACCTAGGTTTCACCCAAACCTACTACTTACTAGGTCGGGCTTGTACTGCACACCTGTAATCCCAGCATTTGAGAAATTGAGACAGAAGGACTGCTGTGTATTTGAAGCTAGGGTGGGATACATAGTGAGTTCCAGGACGATATAGCAGGACCCCAATCTCAAAAACAAAACAAGACAAAATGCATTGGTCAAGTTACTTCATCCCCTTACACCTCAGTTCTCCACATCTGAAACACCTCTCTTTTCAGAGGATCCCTGGGGTTCACTGGTCAAAAAGCCTAGCCTCGTCTGTGAGCCCAGGTTCCAGTGAAAGACCAAATATGAGGTGGGCAGTACCTGATGAATGGGAATTGAGGTTAACCTCTGGCCTCCATATGCATGTGCACACGTACCCAAACACACATGAACACACACACACACACACACACACACACACGTTTCCTTTCTTAAAAAGTTTTATCTATTTTTGGGGCTGGAAAGATGGCTCAGTGATTAAGAGCACTGACTGCTCTTCCAGAGGATACAGGTTCAGTTCCCAGCACCCACATGGTAGCTAATAACCATCTGTAGCTCCAGTTTCCGGTGATTTGATGCCTTCTTCTGACCTCTGTGGGCATTGCATGACATGGGTGTACTTACATACATGCAGGCAATACACTCATACGTGTAAAAATTAAATAAATATAATAAAAAAGATTTACTTATTTTTATGTTATGCATATGAGTGTTTTGCCTGCATGTGTATAAGTGTACTACTTGCATGCAATGCCTGTAGAAGCCAGAAGAAAGCATCAGATCCCCCTAGAACTCAAGTTACTGACCATTGTTAACTGAAATGTGGGTGCTGGGAACTGAACCCAGGTCTTCTGGAAGAGCAGGAAGTGCTCTTAATCACTGAACCATGTCTCCAACCCTGAGTCTTTTCTTAGACTGTTGGTCTTATGAATAGATAAGATGATAGGTATAAAGTATAGAGTACAGGGTAGGGCATATAGTGACCTGTGAACATCCAACTGTTAGGACATTAGCAGAGACACAGGTTATGGGGGTGGTTTGAAGTCTTCATAAATAAAGGGCGAGCCCCAAGGATGGCAGCTTTCCTCTGGCAGTACAGGAGGAAGGCGTTAGGACATGGAAAGGCAGAACTTAAAGCATGGGGTTGGGGATGGGAAGTACGTTTGAGGAGTGAGGCATGGTGCCCTGTAGATAGGTCGCATTCATTGGTGGGAAGAAGAAAGGCCTTTGTGAGATGTGTGTGGATAGTCTTCTGGAAGAGAGGGATGGAGATCCAGAGTCTGACCATGGACTCTCTGAGCTGCAGACTTGAAGCAACGGGTCCATCTCACCACTACTCTGTTGGGGTCAGTTGTGGTATGAAAGGGCACTCTCTTCCTACCATCTTCCTGCCTTCTTCTGCATGGGCCTTGTTAGAGGGCTTGGCCACTCCCAGTGTCCAGTGCCCCCACCCCTCAGCTGTGATGGGAGGCAGGCGGAGGCATTTTGCGGGGGCTGTGCCGGGTGGGCAGTTTTCCCAGAGCAAGGAGTGAAGCAGGACTGAGTTGGCTCCAGCCTCCTCAGATGCAGACTTTGCTAGCTGGATGGCCAGACTGTCTGGGCTAACTTGAGCCCAAGGGCTCCCTCGGGCACTGGGTTCCTGCTCTAGGAGATGCACCCTATACTCCAAGGGAGTTGCATGCCACAGGAGGAGGCCACAGGAGCACCAGCAATGCCAGGAACAGGGAATGGCCAGGTTAAGGTCAAAGCGAGGTTACTTCCAGGCACTGACAGGAAGAGAAGCCGCCTCGGCAGGACCAGGCAGGACCTATGGGAAGATTCCAGCTGGAGTAACCAGAGATGGAGCAGAGCTGCCCCTACCTTCCGAGGAAACAAAGCTAGGGGACCAGCTCATGGCAAGGTAAGGAAATTCTGGACCAGAGAAGGGAACTGGGGAGAAAGGGCTTGAAAAGTGGTGAGATGCCACCTCTGAGGGCAGAGCTTTGCTCAGTACCATCGTTCCTGCCCAAGAGCAGGATGCTGGCCCTTAAATCCAAGGTGCCATGCTGGAAGTGGCCAGAATGGATCAAAACTGGTCTTTACCAGAGCACAGTTCAGAGAGCTGGCTCAACTAATTTTTCCTGAAGAAACAGAGGCCAAGAGGAAGGGTATAAATTGCTTGGGGTCCCGTTGTTTGGTTCAGTTTGTTTGTTTGTTTGTTTGTTTTTTGAGACAGGGTCTCATGTAGCCCAAGCTAGCCTCAAAAACTCACTCTGTAGCCAAAGATGACCTTGAACTTTTGATCCTCTGCCTCCTCATCCCAAGTGCTAGGTATCACAGATCTGTACCAGCACACCCTTTTTATGTGGTGCTAGGGATCAAACCCTAGGGCTTCATACATGCTAGGCAAATGCTCTGCCAACTAAGCTGCATTCCCAGACCCAGACTGTATGTTTTGATCTTTGTCAGTGCTGATTCTGCTATTCCACAGTAACCGCTTAATCACAGGACTGTGTTGGGTCAAGGGTCGGTCCTACTGAGCAGGGCATGGCTCTGTGCTTCCTGTCTCCCCAGCCTATCCTGATAAGCAGGATTCAGACTTGGGAATCGTAGAAAGAATATAGGGCTCTAAGGTTCTGAGCTAAGCATTGCCACGCTGCTGCCTTCTGATCCCAGCCCCAGACCTTCCCTCATCTGTGTCATGAGGCACTGCTGAGAACTACCTAGACCCATCAGCATCTGTTCCCAGCACTCCCTGCTCCAGCAGACCTGGCACTAGTGGGCTCTTAGAAGTCAGGGTCAACCTGATGTGGTGGTGCATGCCTATAATCCTAGCACTTGGGAAGTAGAATCAGGAGGATCTGGAGTTCAAGGTCGTTCTTGACTACACAGCAAGTTTAAGGCCAGCTTGGCTACCTGAAACCCTGTCTCAGAAACAACAATAACAAGAAGTCAGGGTCAGATGGGAGTCTGGGTCAGATCCACTCATGGGGGCCCTCTGTGCAGAGTGAGGCAAGCCCTGAGAACGCAGCACGGGAACGGAGCCGGGTGAGGACACTGCGCCAGGCCTTTTTGGCCCTACAGGCTGCTTTGCCCTCTGTGCCACCTGACACGAAGCTCTCCAAGTTGGATGTGTTAGTGCTGGCCACCAGCTACATAGCACACCTCACCCGAACGCTTGGCCATGAGTTGCCCAGTCCCACCTGGCCACCCTTCCTGCGTGGACTCCGCTACTTGCACCCTCTCAAGGTAAGTCAACAGTTTAGGGACTTGGTGGGGAGATGTTAATGCCTAGAGTCTTGGGGAAAGGGCATGGGGAGGAGGACACACTGAATGGGGCCCCTGCCCTGGGCAAAACTGACAATTGGGGACCAGTTTTTTCCTGCTGTCTCAGAAGGAGGACCAAGGCTGCCAGTTGGGGTGGAGTGGTGATTGGGAATGTTTGCATTGGAATGTGATCACTCCAAGAGAAGAGAGACTCTGGGATTCTTAGTGTCAGAGAAAGAAAAAGAATACTATAACCAAGGAAAGCCATCGGCCCACGTAGCCTAGTTCTTCACACAGTGCCCGCCTCACTGCTCTCTGGACTTCTGTTGCAGCAGAGATTTGCTCTCCAGAGGATAACAGTCTAAGACAGCAGCACTCTTGAAGCAACTGCACTGGGAGAGAAAGCAGTACAGTTTGGAGGGCTTCCAGAATGTACCATGTGCCAGACTGTTCCCTAGATTTCCCAAACCTCAGCTTGAGCATGTGCAAGATGGAAGCAAGCAAGGAGCCTGCCATCTCCTCCAGAGCACAAAATAAATGAAAAATCTAATTAACAATAATCACGCTACCACGATGTGGATGCTGAAGATAAACTTGATGCTGAACCAAGTGCTTTAGGGCATTTTTAGCTCTTGACCCATGCAAGAAACAAAGGCAGATTATGGAGGAGGAGACAGAAGTACAGACAGGTCAAGTGGCTGGATGAGGGTTGAGCCCAGGTATCTGACTGCAGACCCCTTGCTCACAATCACTTCAAAGGCCTCAAGGTGCCTCCTAGGGAGTTGTGTAGAGAATATGCTGTGAGCTGGATGTGGTAGAGCACATTTGTAACCCTGGTACTCAGGTGGCTCAGTCAGGAGGATTGCAAGTTCTCAGCCAGTCTGGTCACATAGTAAGAGACCTTGCCTTAAAAAAACAAAAAACAAACAAACAAAAAAGAGTTATGCTGTGTCATGAAGGAAGGGTTGCCTTTGCCCTTTAAAGGGGTCAACATTTTGTTGTTGTTTGTTTGAGACAGGTATGAGACATGTCCAGGCTGGTCTTGAACTGGATATGTAACCAATAATGACTTTGAAGTTCTGATCCTCCTGCCTCCACCTCCCTGAGTGTTAGGATTGCAGGCCTGCCCCACCACATCAGGTTTATGTGGTGCTGAGGACTGAACCCAGGGCTTAATCAAGCTAATCAAGACCTCTACCAACTGAGCACATCTCTATGCCTCGACTTTATTTTTATGGTGAATACACTTTTCATTATCTTTTACTCCTACATATCATCCATCTGAAAAGTCTTGAAACTTGAGGGTTTTCTTGAAAATACAACTAAAGGCCAGATGTGGTGATGCACACCTTTATCCCAGCACTCAGGAGGGAGTTCAAGGCCAGCCTGTTCTATAAAGCAAGTTCCAGGCCAGCTAGGGTTACAGGGAGACCCTGTCTTAGAAAGAGCAAAAAAAAAGAGCAAAAAACCAGAAAATACAGCTAAAATACCAAAGAAAAATTTGAGATTAAATGGGGCAACTCTAAAATGCCAAATGTAGCACTGGGCACAGGGCCATGGGGTGACACAGTAGGATCCTTATCTGTAAAAACGGTGACCAATGTAAAGCCCTTGCAAGTAGCAACTGATGAATACGTTGGTGAGTGAACAAAGGAGAGCCTAGGTTAGGTCTAGAACTCTGGCAGATTAGTGGGGAAGGCCAGTGAGCTGGGAGCAGGGCCTTCAGCCCACAGGGGGAAGGACTGACAGAGGAGGGCAGACCTCTGGGCAGAGTGAGCCTTGCGATTTTGAAAACCATCCTTGCTGCTGCTGGAAAGAGGAGCAATCTTTGGAGAATGTGTGCTCAAAGGAGCCACACCCCCACCCTCTTCTGCCCCTGCACTATGCTTTCCATTGCCAGCCCCTGGCTGTTGCCAGCTCCACCCAGTGTGCCTGCCTGCCTCCCTCCTAACCTCCCAACATTTCTCTTCTTAAAGCCTTCACTGCCCTCAGTGGGCTCTTGCTGTATCTCTGCAGCCACACTTAGAGTGTGAGGTGGAGAAATCATTGCTATCAGGCTGTGGCATTTGGAGTATCAGGTGGGGCTGCCAGGGAGAGGGCAGAATTCAGGCGTTAATGGTTCTGGGCTGTGCAGGGCTGCAGTAACAGCGTTACCCATTTCCTATCCCATGTCTTGCAGAAGTGGCCCATGCGATCTCGTCTCTATGCAGGAGGCTTGGGGTGCTCTGGCCTTGAGTCCACCACAGCCATCGCTTCGGGCCAAAGAACCAGGGATGCAGAGGTGGGGTCCCAAGTCTCTGGAGCGGCAGATATTCTCCTTCCCTCCAAGCCACTCTCTCCAGCTCTTGGTGACAAATGACCAACACACTCATCCTCTTCTCCTAGACTGTGACTCTCACTTAAGGACCTGGTTTTCTACCACCCCTCCCTGTCTTCCCTCTGACTCTCAGCCTTGGATTTGACTCAGACTCAGCTTCCAAGTTCCAGCAGGCAAAAGCAGCAGTGGCCACTTCAGTGGTGGAGAGTTCCAAGGGCACCCAGGATGGAGAGCCACACTCTTGGCATCCAGGAAGGGACTTGCTGTGGTTCTTCTATGGCAGCGACAGGGAAGTGGAAGAGGAAAGGGTTTGAATTGGGTTCAAAGTCAAGTTAGGGCATCACCCTTCCCTTTTCTCTCCTAAGGCTCCTAGAAACCCTCTGCACATATTGAAAAGACAGAAATTACTCCACAGGTGCAGAGGAAGGGGCCAGAATGGCAGCAGCCCTGAGTGCTGATGGAACACTGGGGACCCTGATAAGCTCTTGGTAGCAGTAAGTTTAAATGGCACTGGGATGAGGTCACAAAGCTAGAGGGGAAACTGAAGAAGGGAATATGATTTTTCAGTTGTCCCAAAAGATGCTCGTCCATCATCAAAGAGGTGGGGAGGATTTTAGAGTCCTTGTCCCTGGATTATGGTCCCTCCAGCTGCCCCTCATCGCCACATTTTCTCCCTCCCTGGGCCCTGTCCCTTTCACCCTTTTCTTGGCATGAGTTATATCTACAGGTTAAGCCATAAAATTTACATCGCTTGCATTCCAGTTCCCAGAGAAACTTAGATAGCCCCAGCTGTCTAGTGTAAGAACATCTTATCCCTAGACAATGCTACTTTAACTCAACTAGGCAACCACCTACAGGCCTGCCTACAAAGGATACCGGTACTCAACTATATCCTTGAAGGGCCTGAGAAAAAGCATGTATACTTTTTCCATGGGATGATAGTGACAGTCTTCTCTTTCCAACCTTATTTCAAGGAAACATAAGGCAAAGTGGGATTCAGCAGGTTCCCAGCACCATTAGTGCTTGGGGCTTCATTGGCTCTGATGTTACAGGTGCTGTTGTTCTAGAAATTATCTCCCAAGGCCAGCTTCTCCTCATCCATATCATCTTCTAAAGCTCTTCCTAAGTCCTGAAACAAGGTGCCAAAAATATGCTGGAGTTGCCCTTGGCCTTGAAGAAATTTGAGGATGAAGCACAGAGCTTCTACACATTGGAATGAACTTTTCCAGGTCAGATGTAATTTCAAATTAGTCCTTGAAGTCTAGACAGGGAAGGAATCACCTTCCTGTTAAATTTCAGCAGCCAAGGCCAACTAGAGTCATAAAGGGTGATCATGATTAAAAAGGAGGGTTGACAGGCTGAGAGGGGCTGGGTCTGCTCCTCTATAGGGCTGCCCACAGTATCCAGGGAAAGGGGCCTGAGGGGGGTGACTCAGCAAGCTGGGGTAGAGATAGAAGACACAGAACGTCCTAGCCCGAGCTGCATGGGCTATGGGAGAGCAGCTGGGCTGTGGCTGGGAGCCATGGCAGAAGGCCTCAGCCAAGGCCAAACTCATAAATCTGCCTAGTTCCACATCTCTGCTGAGGGACTCTGAGTGCTTGTGCAGAGCTACTTCTGGGCAGCTGGACTGGGCCAGTCAGGGGCAGAAACCAGGTGTGGGAGGTCAGGAGCTGTGTTCTTCACAAGACCATAAAAGTCCAGCCTGAATGTTCTATTTTTAAAAACCCAATAGCAACATCTCCCTAGAGGACTGGATTTCCTCCCAATTGGTGGCATAGTCTCTTCTGGGCAGAAAGGGACTGGCTTTGGGTATGTGCTGAGAGTCCAGTGACAGCCTAGAAAACCTCCCAGTCATTGAGTAGACTTTGGTTTGGAGCTTGCCATGCCCACCCTACCCAGACTCAATTCTTTGCTTCATCTCACCAAGTCCCTCAGGGCTGACCATATAACACCACATGGTAAAGAAGCCAAGGGCAAAAGGAGTTGGTAGATGACAGAGGAAGAGCAAGTCATATCACTGTGGATCCCCAGCTGGCTTTGAGATCTTCCTGCCCCAGCATCCCACGTGCAGGGATTATGGGATCACTGGCCTGTGTTCCACCCTGTCTGGCTAGGACAAGTTTCTAAGGCTTCCTCTGGTTTTTTTTCCAGCAAAGATGTTTACCTTAGTGGCCAGGATGGTCACCTAGCATAGTCCAGCCCTGGACTATGCCAGAGGGGCTGGCAGGAGGGAGGGGGAGCAAAGGAAGGCCCAGGGCATGACTGGGGCCGTGCCCTCCCTGACAAACACAATGCTGCCCTTCAGAAATGTCATGTTATGGACTGGGATCCATAAGTCAACCAAAACCCCCTTTGTTTCTGCTCCAGAGGGGAAAAACCCAAACAAAACCCACCTACTTACCAGGCAACCCATGTTCACCAGCGCTAGGGGGCATGGGACAAGGGCAGTTGGAAGTAATAGAGGAGTTTTTCCCTATAGCTGTTGTTCCCTAGAAACAAGGATATGTAGGACATAATCTGCAAAATCTAAGGAACACAGGTAACAAGTGGCGCAAAGGTAGCCTGGCCCAGGACCTGTACCTGAGTGAACCCAGTCCACTGAGTTTCCTTCTACCTCCTCTGCCACCCCTGAGTACTCAAGGTTCAAGGTGAGGTGCAGGCAGGGGTGGTGAGGAAGATTTGCCTGTTGCCTCCCTCCACCCAGTTATATGTGCTGCAGGAGAGCAGGGCTGGGGCTTAGTTGGGGCTGCAAAGGGGAAGAGCTGGCTGAGCATAGCTAAGGATTGTGGTGACCATGGAGTTCACCAAACTGGAAATAAAAGTGTGATAGTTCATTTGGACTGTCAGGGCTGGAGAGATGGTTCAGCGGTTAATAGCACTTGCTGTTCTTGCAGGTGACCTAGGTTCTGTTCCTAGGACCCATATCAGGAAGCTCCCAGCCATCTCTAACTCATTTCAGGGGATTGGACACCCTTGTCTGGCCTCCTTAGCTGCCAAGCATGCACATGGTGCACATACATACATGCAGGCAAAATAATCATACACATAAAATAAAAATTAAATAAGTCTTTGACTGTCAACCTGAGTGGACCAAGAACCACCTAGGAGCTTAGTGAAGCATAGCTCCATGTTTGTCTGTGGGGACTTTTACCTAAAGAATGGCTTTATCTTACATTAATGATTTTAAAATAGACAACTGAGAAGTAGTGGAATTGTGGAGGGTGGGGCCTAGTTAGAGGAAGTAGGTCACTGGGGAGTGTGCCCTTAGGGGCTGCATCTTGTCCTGTTACTGCTGCACTCTGTCTCCTGTCTGCCACCAGGGAAAGAGCGTCCTCCTCCACATGCTTCTGGTGCCATGATGTTCTGCCCAAACCTATGAGGCCAAACAACCATGGACTGAACCCACTGAAACTGTGGTTCCAAATAAGTCTTTCCTCCTTTAAATTGTTTCTATCAGGAATTTAGTCACAGCAATGTCAAAGCTAACATAGAGTATAAGACAGATGATCAAGTTGTCTCCTAAAAGAAAGTCCCTACTTTCTCCTCAGAGGAGCCAGGCTAGGATGAGTTAAGCAATGCTGTCTTCTCCCTTTTGTGGGACAAGCCCCTAGAAACTTCTATTCTAGATGAAGGGTGGACAAACCAGGGCCAGTACCTAAATCCAGCCCCTCTACCTGTTTCTGTAAATAAAGTTTTGTTGTGACAGCCACATCTCCTCGCTTACATATTATTTATGGTTGCTTTTTCTGATACCCAAGCAGAATCGAAGAGTCAAGGCAAAGACGGAAAGTCCTAGAATATTTACTGTATGGACCATACTGGACATTTCTGATTCCTGCTCTGTCAGGAATTCAAAGAAATCAGGGGGTATTGAAAGTGTGGTCTGGGAATCCTGAGGTAGTCCAAATGGCCAAAACTATTTTCATAATTTAAAAATACAAGATGCTATATGCCTCCCTTCCTCTCCTCTCTCTTCCTCCCTTTCTTCATTCCATCCTTTCTCTTATTTCATTTCAATTTTTACATTTTAGTTTCTCTCCTTCTCTCTCTCTCTCTCTCTCTCTCTCTCTCTCTCTCTCTCTTTGTGTGTGTGAGTGATGTGGAGATCAGAGGACAACTTATATAAGTCAGTTCTCTCCCTCCACCATGTGAGTTCCAGGGATTAAACTCAGGTTGTAAAGCTTGGCGGCAAGTGCCTTTGCCCTATGAGCCATCTCACTACCCGTGCCCCCTTTTTTTGAGACAACTGCTCCATATGCAGCAAAGGTTAGCCTTGAATTCATGGTCCTCTGGATTCAGTTTCTCACCACACCCAGCTAGTTAATGTTATTTTTTAAATTCAAGTGTGTGCATGTTCGTGTGTGTGCAAATGCATGTGGAGGCCAGAGGACAACCTTTGGATTTCATCCTCAGAAATGCAGTCTACTTCCTTTGAAACAGGGTCTCTCATTGGCCTGAAGCTCACCAAGTAGGCCAGACTGGCTGCCAGCAAGTTCCAGGGATCCTCCTGTCTCTGCCTCCCCAGACTTAGGATTACAAGTATGACCACAATACAGCTCACATTTTAAAAAAAGATTTATTCTATTTTTGTTTTATGTATATGAGTCTTTGCCTACATGTATGTATGTGTGTCATATATGTGCCTGTGGCCATGGAGGCCAAAAGAGGGATCTTCTGGAACTGGAGTTGCAAATGGTTTGAACAGCCACGTGAGGGCTAGGAACCAAACCTGGGTCCTCTGCAAGAGCAAGTGCTCTGAATAAGTGAACCATCTCTCCAGCCCCAGCCTGGAGATGGAGTTACAGGCAATTGTGAGATGCCTGTGTAGGTGCTGAGAACTACACTCTCTGCAAGAGCAGTACATGTTCCTAACCACTAGGACATCTCTCTAGCTCCCCACAGCTGGTATTTTTACATGGGTTCTGGGGATGGAGCTCAGATCTTCATGCTTATAAGGCAAGTGCTTTACCAAGTGAGACATCTCCCCAGCCCTTTTCGTCCCCCCCTAAGTAAGTCAGGGTCTCATGTAGCCCAAGCTGACCTCTAATCACTATGTAGGCAAAGATGACATTGAGCTCCTGATCTTCCTCCTTCCAACTCCAAGTGCTGGATTACAGATATTTGTCACCATGCCCAAGTTAATAAATATTTTTATTTATTTTTTATTTCATTTTATGTGTATGCATGTATTGGCTGCATGTAGGTAAGTGCGCCCGTGACGTGCAATGCCCTCGGAGGACAGAAGAGGCCATTGGATCCCCTGGAACTGAAGTTACAGACAGTTCTTAGCTGCCATGTGGGTGCTGGGATTCAAACCTGGGTCTTCTGCAAGAACAGCCAGTGTTTTTAACTGCTGAGCCATCTCTCCAGCCTGTTCTTAACCTCTGAGCCATCTCTCCAGCCCCAATAAATATTTTTTAAAAATATTTTATTTATTATATTTATTTTGTGTGTATGAGTGTTTTGCCTGCATGTGTATCAGTGCACCATGTGTGTGTAATTCCTACAGAGGCCAGAAGAGGGCATTGGGTCCCCTGGAACTGAAGTTACAGACAGTTGTGAACCACCATGTGGGTGCTCTGGAATGAAACCTGGGTCTACTGCGAGAACAACAGGTGCTCTTAACCCCTGAACCATCTCTGTAGCTACAGTTCTGATCTTCTTGAGGGAATGAATTCATTCAGGAGACCTAGGTAATTTGAGCAGACATGTACTTAGCAAAGCAGCAGTTTAGTTAATAAAGCTAAGCAGAGAAAGCATTCAGAAAGAGAGAGAGAGAGAGAGAGCAGTGGCAGCCGGAGCAGTGAGCGGCAGCTTAGCAGAGCCATGTTGTGGAGTTTGAAGAGGTTCTTATGAATATTTATGAGGTGTGTGGTATATTCATGAAGTAAGCTGATGATTTTTTTCATCTCAAATTATGGTAGATCTCCTTTGAAGGTATTTCTTTTCATGATCTTCACCAAAGGGGTGGGGGTGAGTATTAAAATCAATATTATAGTGATGTCAGGTCTTTGCAGGTTCAGACCCTTTATTAGCACACATGTATGGACGAATGCCCTGGTGCCTTAGTTTCTGATGTACTGGGAATAGCTTTACTGAAGCTTCAAGGATGCTTAACCACAAAGAGGCTTTCCTGACCATCAAAGGCACAGCTGCCAACAGGGAACTGCAATTTTCCTGTTTTACTGCATATCTTACAGTTTTGCCTATGGATCTGGAGCAGTCTCCTTCCTGGTATAGGTGGAGGCATTTTTAGAAACTGTTTTTACTCACAATTTAGTCTATTGTAATTAGTGGCATTGAGTGCAACAATGTGTGAGAAGGCAAATGTGCCTTATATATGTTCCTCAGAGGGGCATCACATGTGCCTGTCAGAGCCTGCCAAGACTAAGACCAGCTTTGGTGGGTTTTGTTTTGGTTTGGTTTTCCAGAGCCCTTTGTTTCGTCTTAGCCCATCGGTTTGATCCCCTCTTACTCAGACCAGGTCTCAGTATTCATGATCTCACCATTTTGAGTCTACCATTCATTTTAACTCACACATTGGTTTTTACAGTAACAGTAGGTTGACTCCATTGTCCACCATCACCAAAGAGTGTTGTGCCCAATTATCACAAACCCAGGGAAGGCTCAGACTTCAAAATTCCAAACCCAGTTTCCCTTCCTTTTCTTTTCTTTTCTTTTCTTTCTTTTCTTTTTGAATGTATTGCCTGCATGTGTGTAAGTGCACCCATGTCACACAGTGCCCACAGAGGTCACACAAGAGGGCATTGGATCCCCTGGAAATGGAGTTATAGGCACTTATGAACTACCTATTGTAGGTGCTAGGAACCAAATTCAGGTCTTCTGCAAGAGCGGCCATCACGCTAAACCTTCAAGCCATCTATCTCTCCTGCCCCACATTCTAGGAGTTTTACCCAATAGTCATAACCAGATGGCCTTAAACTCACAGAGATCTGCTGACTCTGCTGGGATTAAAGGTGTGTACTACCATACCAAGCAGGATTGTCTTAACTAAGGTAATTGATGTAGGAAGGCCCAGCCCACTGTGGGAGGCATCATTCTCTAGGCAGGGGTTTGTGAACTGTATGAGAGTGTAGAAAGCTGAGCACAAGCAAGCGGGCACATATGCTTTCTGGGCTTGATTGTGGATGTGATCAGCTGTTTAAAGTTCCTGCCTTGACTTCCCCACAATGATGGACTGTAACCTGGAACTGTAAGCTGAAATAAAATCCTTTCTCCCCTAAATAGCTTTTTGTCAGGGTATTTAAAATATTTCATTTATTATTTTTATTTTATGTATGTATAAGTGTTTCCTGCATGTATGTAAGTGTGCCATGTGCATACAGTGCCCAGGAGAGATCAGAGGAGGATGTCAGATCCCTTGGAACTCGAATTACAGATGGTTGTTAGCTGAGATATGAGTACTGAGAACTGGACCTGGGGCCTCTAGAAGAGCAGTCAGTGTTCTTAAATGCTGAGCATCAATCTAGTCCCCTTGTCAGATTTTATCACAGCAACAGAAATGGAACTAGAATAAGCCCCAAGCTGGAGACCTGTGTTGGTTTCCTAGGCTTCTGGGGCTGGGGCTCTACAAATAATTTTTTTTGTTATGGGGTGGTGTGTGTGTGTGTGTGTGTGTGTGTGTGTGTGTGTGTGTG